CCACCCATCCACCTGAGGGTCTTCGCAAAGGCTGTTGCCTGTGCGTACAACCCTGAGAACTCAGCTCCCAGCCACACCTACTCTGGCCGCCCTACACTCTCCATCCTCCTCACTTGCCCCTATTTTCGATAGCACTTCTCACCTTCTAACATACTATATACTGCACTCATTTATTGTATTCATCATCTGCCTCCCACTCCCATGTAAGCTTCAGGAGGACAGAGATTTTTGCATAGTCTGTTTATTGAGTATTTCCAGCATCTAAAATAATGTCTCTACCCAATAAATACTAAAAATAAATGTGTTCAGAGTACAAATGAAAGTTTCCCTTTTTCTGCCTGATGCTCCATGTGTACTTGCTCAGAGATCTGCCTCAGAATAGCTTTTAATTCCTTTTCAAGTTTCTCAAGTGTTATATTGTAAACAGCATTCAGAAAATGCTACTGAGGAACACCATGTCATTGACTTGAACACCATGGTCTTTCTTTCAAAACTGAAAACAAATCCTCTAGATTGTAGCAGTAGTATCATAAATATTGAAAATGTATAAACTTCATAATAGACCCTTGACCTTTTTAGGAATGTGTTCAAAGTTCTTGAGAAATCCCCCAAATTACGGGTACCACGGCGTATAGTTTACGCTCATGAACTTCACACATGCCGATAAGAAGGAAAGAAGGAATCCACTTATTGCTGCAGATGCCCAGTGGCTCATGCATTAGAATAAGGCTCCCCCCAGACCCCACCCAGCTGCTCTGTGCTCAGGCCTTCTGCTTGTGAAAGCCGAGGGTCCACTAGATTATTTTATTCTATTTGCAAATTTTTAGAATACTGATTTTAAAAATTAGTCCCCCAAGCCACTTGGCCTTGGTTTTAGAATATAATGTTTATGGGTGTTATTACCACTAAATGATAATGGGACTTACTCTTAAAAACAAAATGAGCAACCACTTAAAACAGAGGAAGTTTCTACTTTGAGATCAGAGTAAAAGTGAGCATCCATGTAGCTTGATTTTGGTCCTCTGGTAATATAAGCAAAAAAATACGTGCCTGTTTTTATTTTTAAGCTGACGTTTAAGAAAACCTTCTGCCATGGTAACTTGTTTTTTTAATGATAGTGATCAGAAGCCTTTGACAAGAAGAGTGGGAGTAAGGAATGGGGATGCCGTCTCCACGGTGACAGCTGTCCAGCATAACCATCTCACGTCTCTTCCATTTATCATGTATTTTAGGCCAATTCAAGCTGCTGGAACAAGACCGAGATATAAAGGAGCCAGTGCAATATTTCAACAGTGTGGAGGAGGTGGCGAAAGCATTTCCTGAACGCGTGTACGTCATGGAGGAAATAACATTCAACGTGAAGGTAGCTCCAGAAGAAGCAAATATTTATCCTCACTAAAGTAATTTAACTTTCAGGGCTTTATGTACACAGAAGGTGCCCATCTAGGCCTCAGAGGAGAGTTCCATTTTCTTAATGTGTGGGTGTCAGTGGCTAAAACTGGTCTTTTAAGACTTGGCAGGTGCTATAAATGACCTGATGTGCAGACAGGTACCTGTGTTTACTTAGCTCTATCTTTTTCTAAGGTAACTGTTAAGGCAGATCAAAAGCTTTTTTTTTTAATTTGGACTTTATCCCCTAATATGTAACACATGTTTGGCCAGATCTTCCATGAGGCTGGATGCTCACTCATAGGAGCAAGCAAAAAAGCACATGAAGAATCTAATGCCAGACACTTATTTAAAGAAAGAGAGAGAGACTTCCAGAGCATAGCCTGAGATCAGCATATGTTCATTCCATTTCTTATAGACTATCTGTATCGGTATAAATAGGGAAAATCAATACACAGAATGTTGCCAATAGGTATTTACTGATCCTTGTTCATCAGAGAAAAGCTAAATAGTGTTCATCATGCTGCACTGGAAAGGAACTAACCAGAGGAGCAATGTCACCAAGCAGGTCCAAGGTTACTGCCGGCACATCCACTGCATTTGCTTTAGCGGCATTCACAATGACACTAAGACATTTTAGAAAGTGTCCACACTGAAAGGATTTTCTGTTTCACTCCTTTCCGCAGGAAGTCCAACTTAGTCACATTCTCTAAACGGTTCGATATTTAGAGGGCAACATGCGTTTTTCTTAGAAATTCACTCTTGTGTGAAAAATAGACCGAGTGGTGTCTTAGCCCAAGGAAGCAACAGTGTCCTGTGGGTGAATCAGTCCACCTACACTCCTCAGGAGAGGGCGGCTGCTGGACAGGGGCCTTGCTGGAGAAGTGGTTCTGACCATTTGATTGGCTCAGCCAAGTCATTCTCTCTTCTAGTCCTAAAGTCCAGCTGCTATAGTCTACTTTCTTTAATTTTATTATTAAAATGGGTAAGATTTTGTGTTTTATACAATTTACTAAACAAATTATGCTTATATTAAAAATGTTTATAATTTTTAGTCCGTAAGTGACCCAGTCAACTTTTATTCAAGACGGCTTATGTTCATTTACATTGGAGATTTGTGAGAACACATTCATTTTTAAATATTTACCAATGACAAGAGTTGTTGGCCAGAAGTTAATCAAATCCTATACCATTAGTTTCTTGATATGATTTAAATCTCTCCTTAAAACTTATATTTAGAATTATCTAAGTGGGAAAAATCATTTAGAAAGGAAAACTAATAATTTTAAACCATTTCCAAAATCATTTCATTTACTGATAGATGATGAGAGATCAAACATAAAAATTGTTTATAATTTTTAAGATTTCATCAAGTATTAAATTTAATATTCAGTATTTTTGTGGCAGATGTTTAATGTAAAAGATTTTTAAAAGATACTTTTGGCAATTATTTTTTGTCAATTTGTATGAAGTTGTCAGTGGTTGAAAGAATAATTTTGATAGTTTTAACAGAATATCACGGCTGTATTATTTTAAAAATATAGAGATGTCATTTAAAAATTCAGCAAACTACATTTAACACTATTGACCTATATACTTAAAAATGATTAAGATGGTAACTTTTATGTTTTATGTATTTATAATTTTCTTAGAAGGAAAAAAACATTCAGAGGCACAGATTAGTGTGTGGAATTCGAGCTTATAACATCCATAGAGCTGACGGGATTTGGGTTAAGTTCCTCTGCTATGCATACCTTAATATTAGTACCTGCAGTCTATTACTTATAGACTTTAAAGATGCCCTCACGTCCAGCTGCACTAATCATTAACACATTATTCGATTGCATTCAAAGAAGAATTGATACAGGAACCTCGGGAAATTTGCGTGAAGATATACACAAAAGTCTGTATGCTTAGGTAATAAACACCCAAGTAAATAAATAATCTAGGGTATTTATGGAAAGAATACCTGCACCAAAAGATATAAATGTTGGTGTTCTTTAGGGAACGATTATTGTGTGGTTGTACATACATGTGGTGCTTAATGTGAGAGCCAGATGGGGGTGAGGAAGCAGTGTGCTTGGTTGGCGCTTCCCCTAGGGGGGAAAAAATGCCTAACAGTACCATTGCTCATTGCAGCTCATTCATAAATATAGCCATTATAAATACTATATCATAATAAGTGTTATGTAAAATAGCTATTATCCAGGAGGGATTTTTTTAAAAATAGAATTTATGTACCCTTGGAAAACTTCACCTTCTGCTCTTCACTGTGAGGTACACCAAGGGGATAAGAACTGGAGAAATGGCTTGCAGCTGAGAAGTGCAACTAACTGGCGTCATGATAGTTAGCTGCACTTTATGTCATTTCACTATGTGAAACAAAGAAATATATGTTTATATATTCATATATATTTACATCTGCAAATTGAAATGAAACAGGATAAGAAAACAGAGTAGAACAAAAGCACTGAAAGAATAGAAACTCTGCTTTTGTTATTTTCAAGATTATAGCAAAGTTTTAACTGAATAAATTTAATAGGTCACATTAGTATTGTTTTCACATTTATTTGAAAACAGACATTTCTTTATCTTGAAATCCAACAAAGATGTCTTTAAAAGATGACTTGATGTGCTTAAAATCATCTACCCGATTGCCCCACCATTGATTAACTGCCTGAAATGAATTAATATAGGTTAAGTATTTCATTCTTTAACCGGGAAATATATTTTGAGCACCTGCCATATGCCCCACACTGTTCTAGGCTCTGGGGATAAGTAGTGATCATTCAAGCCCCCTCCCCGTGCCTCCTGGAAGATTACGATCTATTGGAATGGCAAACAATAAATAAGTGCAAATACGACCTCCAAATAATGAGATCAAGAAGATCTGTGAATACAGGTCTGAGCTTGGGGCAAGGTTAGAGTTTGGGGTATATATTTGCAGTTCATCAGCTCCTAAATGGCATTTGAAGCTGAGGGATCGGGTGAGTCCACCCACATCACTGGTTCTCAGCCACAGATGATTTCCCCCACAGGGGACACTTGACAATGTCTGGATAGAATTTTGATTGGCACAGCTTGCAGGGGTCGGGGGTTGGTGTGCAGGTGCTGCTGGCATCTGGTAGGAAAAGGACAGGGATGCTGCTAAATGGCCTGCCATGCACAGGACACCCCCACAGCAAAGAGTGAGCTGACGCAAAGTGCCAATAGTGCCGAGGCTGAGAAACTCTGACCCAGAGACTGGATAGAGAAGAGAGACTGAGGACTGAGCTCTGGAACACAGCACCACTGGGTGGTGATTGACATGAGTATCTCACATGATTGACATAAGATAGAAAGATAGTGAAGCCCATACAGGTCCCAGAAGCCAAATGACAAAAGTTTTCAAATAGGAATTGTCGCCTGTGTCAACTGCTACCTAGTGATTGAGTTAGGTAAGGACTGGGAATGACTATTAAATTTAGCAACATGGAAGCCTTTGGTAGTCTGGACAGGAAGGAAATAACAGTCAGCTCAGACACCCAGAAAGTAAGTTAACCAGGGAAGTACAGTAGGGTGGTCCCAGAGTTCGGCCAAGGTAAACTTCAAGAGAGATTACTAGCACCAACCTTTTATTCTCCCAGCCATCTCCAGCTGCCTGGATGCAGGTGCAGAGTAGACAGGGCTGGGCTTCTACAGCATGAGTGTAACAGGTCAGCGAAGGCACAGATGAAGTGTGCTCTGCAGTGACAGGCAGAGATAAGCATGGACTCCCCACTGGATAAGGAAGCGTGACTGCAAGAAGTGCAGCCGGTGACCGTTGGAGACTCGATGGGGTTGGGTTAAAGAGCTTCTGAAATGGGTAGTTTGAAGAACATGAGGTGCAAAACGGGCGTGCTGGTGGGGTGTAAATGTTTGAACTTCAGGCAGTAATACAGCAAATGACAGGAGTAGGTGTTTTTTCAAATCTAAGCATGTCATTTGAGTCAGCAGCTGAAGAGGTAAGAACAGAAAATGGGAGATAAGAAGGCAAAAATAAAACAGGAAAGAATATGTGGGCCGGTCACTTCGTGTGCGTCACGTGGGTACATTTCCTGCACTCTGTCCAAGCTACTGGCATTTGATATTTTTAGAACTTAGTCACCTGCCTCTCTGACATGTTTTTCCTTTACCCATCCAGTTTTAGGGTTCCGTGGTAGAATTTTGGTTTTGTGTATCTGCTTTCCTACATACTTGTTTTTAACTATATTAGGTGTTTTCTTTCTTAATTATCATTTACTTTTTAACCAACATCTCTACCCTCATGTTTACTTCCAAAATCAAAAGATACCCTATTTGTGAGTTGCTCATCGCAACCAAAGGCTCCTTTCTCTACCATTTATTAAGAAAAATAGCAGCACCATTTTGCAGACATGGATCTTTCTTTTAATAAGCTGCTATGTACCATCTAAAAAGCACATCACATTGTGGCATGTGGCTCAGACTCTGGATTCAGAGCTGAGTCCAGATCCCAGCTCCAAGCTCTGATTGTGCCATAGGCAGGCCACAGGACCGCCTGAGCCCAGGGGTCTTCACCTGCAAAATGGGGGTGATACTTCCCACCTTACAAATTTGTCATGGGACTTAAATGAAGTAATGCACCAAAGTGCTTTTAAGTATGTACATACAGGGGTTGGCAAACTGTAGTCATGGGGCAAGCCACCATTTGCCAGTCAAGTTCCGTGGGCACCCAGCCCCACACACACGTTTAGTGTTGTCTGGAGCTACTTCTGCAGTGCAGTAGCGGAGCTGAGCAGTTGCAACAGGGACCAAATATCCCACAAAGCCAAAAAGTATTACTGTCTGGCCCTGTAAGAACATTTACCAACCCCTGTTTTAGAATGTAAAATCATACCAAAATAAGTTGCACGTTGTCAGAAAATTTCCCACCACAGATTACTTCACTTACACTTTGTTTAGTGCTTTACAGTCAGTGTGTTAATATTAAGAACATCATATCTGTTTGTTGCTGTTATTTTTGCTCCAAAATACCCCTTCTCCTCAAATACTTTTTTGGAAACTTATTACGCCAGTACTGAGTGAGTTATTTCAAATGTCTTCCAGCCTTTCAAACTCAGCCCAGTAATGAGAAATTTTCCCCACACAGTGTTTTCTGCCATCAAAAAACAATGATTAACAAATTAAGTGTTCGTTTAAGTTCTGTCTTTACTGCAGCATTGGTGGCCAGGGAAGGAAGGGTAGCCTCCAGATTTGGCGTTGGGAAACTTGCAGCTCTCTTTAAGTGGGTAAAAGGCATCTTGACTTCACGGCTGACGCCCCTACTGCTCTCACATCAGAGAGAACCCAAATACCCTAATCTGGATGCTATAATGTTGCTATTTTCATTCCAGCTAATGAGGTAATGAGGTCCAAGCCTTCAGCTGTTCCAGCATAGATATTTCCCCAGAGGCAAAATAACAAGTTTGCATTGTCTCAGCCAGAGAAAGTGCCCCATTCGGGACTTGGAAGATTCAGTCAGATGCTGAGCAGTCACCGCCACTTCAGTCAGTGCGCACAGACCTCTTGCGGGCCATTACCACGTGGTCTGGGACAGGAGCTGAGCTGACAGCCCTGTCACCTGCGTATCAGCTCCTGATTACCAGCTTTGGCACCTGTTTCTGGCGGGGATGTCAGCGTCTAGCAACAGAGCTGCCGCAGTGTGGGGTGAAGAATGTCAGGGATGCCTTTTTTTAATAGGAAAATAATCATGTCAGATTCAGACAACTTCAGCCATAGCTATGCTTCTCAACATTGAGAAACATCACCAAGAATCAGATGGTGAAATATTATAAATAATCCAGCTGGACAAAAGTTTACAGACATTGAATTTTTATAATCGCTCAATTTCAAATCTGGAAGAGCCCTTACACATTGCCTAGTCCTGCTCCTTTTAATACATAAGAAAACTAAGAAACAGATGTTAGCTGACTTCACTGATCCACAAGAAGCCACAGAACTACTTAGCGGCAAAGCCAGGTCCCCTAATTCAATCCAGTCATCATCTTTCTGCCCCCTCACATTCTGTTTGTGGACTCGAGCTAAGTCTTACAGTCGTGATCAGAACAGCCTTTCACATGAACACAATAATTAGCATGTTAAATTCATTTTCTTTCTTAAAAATATAAGTAAATGTGTTCAATACTTGTTACCTAGCCATATCCTTTTGTTTTTGTATTTCTGGAACATTTATACATAGTATATTTCTGATACACAGGATATTTAGCAGCTTTTATAAATGTTGTACAGAGTTTTACAGCTTATTTCATACCAGAGCATCATCCCAATATTTTAAAAATAAAATCCTACAAGTTAATTTGATGTTTCTTTTCTATTGGCATCAACAGTTTCTTATTAGATTAATTAGAACAAGTCAGAAGGGACCCCTTCAAAAATACTGCTGTAAAATACTAACCCAGAATGTTAACCAGAATTAGTAGAGAAACAAGACTAGAGCTGGATTCTTGCATTGCTGCTTGGAAGAGTGTTAAAGATATACTGACGCGACTAAAATGCATTACTGAAGAAGGAAGGGCAAGTTCTGAGGTTTAATATGATTCATACAACTTGATGCTGAATTTTTTGACTTTTTCCCCCAGGCTTTCAAGTTACTGAAAATCAGCCTTGTTTTCTTCCCAGGTCATGGACTTGAGGCAATCTTGTGCCTTTTATCTTAACATATCAGTCACCCTATTTGAAGTTGCCATCTGAAAAAGTGCTGAAGAAATGACCTTCTCCCTTCTGCCAACTAGTTAGACTATATCTTATTTCCCTACATAAAGTAGGGAAATTAAACATATGTCACTTTACTTCCTTCACTGATTTTAACAGAACAAACCACAGACAAGGCCTTGAAGATGCATCAGTGGGGAGGTTTTGAGTGCGTGTGGTTCTACTCCTGTCACAGTTCTTTTGCTCTCAGCCATCTTTCTGATCATGCTCGTCTCCCGAAAGGCGGCAACAGCGTCCTACAAGCCTCTCTTCTGCTTTCATCAGCTGTCTTGTGGTCATCCTGGAAAGTAATGCAAAACAATGGTGCTGAAACATTATTGTCCTTTGGGGAGTTTTTTTTAAGAGTATAGTTTAATCATAACCATCATTCTTAGTTTAAACTATATTCCTAGTTTCTGTCCTCACAACTCAGAAAAAGAATCTCCCTGTTGTATAAGATTAAAACAGTGTCTGAGGGGCAGTGTGTTTCTCTTTTCAAAAGGACAGGGATTACTTACTCTGGCATCTCTCCTGCCTCTCTGGAGCCTTTGGAGCATGAGTAATTCTAGATATCCAGTTTTGGGGGCAGCTGTAAATGTTAACAAAAATCCTGTCCAACATGACTGTCGTTTCCATCCAGTTTCTTAAAATGTATTGCAATTCTCTGGCATCTTAAAGAGAAGTACTTGAACAGAATTCGAAACTTGTCCTCATCTCCTGAGATGTGTGTGACTTCTGCCTTTCCGTGGAGAAGCCCTACAGCCTGCTTTGCGCTGTTTCATGGTCTCACTTAAATTTTTTGTTTATTGTCTCTTGCGTTTGTTAGAACATTTCACAGCCTGTATTTCTCGTTTTAATGTTTACTTCTATTGCACTGTGGTATAGAAACTCATAACCGAGTTGGATAGAATTTTGATGAGTTAGGAGTATGCTGATTAAGATCCTCAAAGGTTTACTATAAGCCCTAACATTGACAGCTGCTGCGAGGCCTTTCAACACACTGCCTTGTTCTTGGCCATACACCCACATACCACTTCACAACAGGGATACACATATCATTCTGAGAAACGCATCATTAGGTGCTTTGTCATCGCGTGAGCATCATCTAGTGCACCACACGAAGCTGGACGGTGTTGCCTACTCCACGCCTGGGCTGTGTGGCGTAGTTTGGTGACCCAAGGCTGCGAGTCTCTACCGCATGTCACTGTACAAAACAACACAAGGTGAAATTAAGCACAAGAGAAAATGATGCATTCAAGAGGGGTCATAAATGACAAAAAAACTGTAGTACAGTAAATATATTTTTAAATGAGAAAACTATAGTATAGGAAAAACTAGTAACGTAGTCTTTTATTATCATTATCAAGCCTCTAATTGCATGTGCTGTACTTCTATACGGCTGGCAGCATGGTAGATTTATTACACCAGCATCACCAAAACCACGTGAGTAATGTGTTATACTAAGAAATTACAACAGTGATGATGTCACTAGGTGACAGGAATTTTCTAGCTCCATTATAATCTTATGGGCCACTGTCATACATGTGGCCCATTGTGGACTGAAACCTTATGTGGTGCCTGACTGTGTTCTTGCAGAGAGATCAGGAAATATTGATTACTATGCAACTTGAATTTTACTGTATAAGAATGAATTTTAAAAATGAAAAGTGAATGACTTTAGGTATTCATTTTTTATTCTCAGTTTTTATTCTTGTTTTTATTTTTATTCGCAGCCTTTAAAAATTGCATGTTTTTCTTACAGTGAGTCAGTTGTCATTATTTTTAAGATTTATTCAGAATGATTAATTGGATGCAGTTGTGAGGTTAATTCTTTCAGTGTTTGAAGACAGTCTGGTGCTTTTTATGTCATCTGAAGTTTAAAGACCTCCTCTGAAGAACTACCAATCGGCAAGTCCTCGGGCATCACAGATCAAATCATTCCCATT